CAGGCGGATCTCTGTGAGTTCGAGGCCAGCCTGGTCTACCAAGTGAGTTCCAGGAAAGGTGCAAAACTGCACAGAGAAACCCTGTCTCAAAAAACCAAAAAAAAAAAAAAAAAAAAAGAATACATGGATAAACAAGAGAGCTGGGTTGCAAATGATATTCCCTTTTGTTACATACCTGTAACATGTAGTATAAGTTCTTCATTGTGAACATCTCTTTCTGACTTGTTCGTGTGCATATGCATGTGTGAGCACATGTGTGTGAAGGCCAAAGATTGATGTCGGGTGTCTTCCTCAATCACTTTCCACTTTGTTTAGTGGGACAGAGTTGCTCACTGATCTGGCTAATCCACAAAGTTTCTTATTTCCATTGTCCCCCTCACTGCACTAAAATGAAACGTGTGTGCCACTGTGCATGACTTTTTACAGTGGTGCTAGGGAGCTCTGCTCCCCATCCTTGGGCGCCAAGCACTTTACCGACTGAGCCAGCTCCCCCATCTCCCATGTCTGACTTTTATCATAGGTATGTCCTTTGGAAGACAGATGGCCATTTTTGTTCAGTTTTAAAGGCAGATCATTCTGTTCAATAGGATCAGTCTCAATTTTTAAATGTTTTCCTAACATATAATTATCATCTACCAGAGACCCAAAAGTACTGTCAATGTGACTGAAATCAGAATGTAAATATTTTATCAACAGCTGTCAAACTTCAATTGGCAGCAAACAGAAAGCCCCTGAATTGCTAGCATCTAGGCAGGAGGCTACATCACTTAACTGACAGATAAGACATTCTTCTGGTTTCCATGTTCCTGTCAGCATTTTTAATATATTAATATGGTGTGCTACTCTACAAAGTTACTGTGACAATCAGCAAGAAGAGCAAATAACTTTGCTGTGCTCTCTGGGAGACACCCAAGAGAGGGTAGCTGCTTTTCAGTACATTGTTTCAACTCATGGTATCTTTGGTATCTGCTCCTGATATAGACTGAATACTGGTGTCAATGAATTATTGTCACACCCATAAAAAGATAAGGGTTTGCCATTAGCAGTTCAAGAACTCAATGTTTTACTTTTTGAGTCTTCATTCAACTAACTTTCTGATTGTGAATGTGCTCGGCTTAGCCAAAAAAGTCTCTGTAGATGCACACAGAAATGACTTTCACCCTCCTTGTAGATCAAAGACACAACTGAATTGAAATTTCCCAAGTAGTCTTTCAAAACAACTTGGGCAATTTTCTGTTTGTACCACTGTCTGTCCCTCTGTCCCTTCTCTTTTCATTTTCCTCTAGGAGTTTTTTCCATTCTTATCCACTGAAGCAGCAGACATATTGGAGCAATCTATAAGCAGTGATTAATGTCTTTGAGGGCAACTAAGCCAATGCTATTTTCTGACTATACAGCCACACCTTTAATAAATATTTATAGGTCTCCTGCAGGGAAAGGTGTGCTTTAGGGAATGAGGATAACAGATGAGGCCTTGTCCGCTTGGAGGTTATACTGTGCCATAGTGAGGGAGAGACAACAAATTATAAATAACTGTGACCCAATTACATCTATCTTGCCTTTAAGCTATATCAGTATTTGCTAACAAGGGGATATTCTAATATGCCTTTAAAAATTAAACTCTTTTATTTTTAAAGGGAATAGAACATAGGTTCCCAGGGCAGGCGAGAGAGAGAGAGAGAGAGAGAGAGAGAGAGAGAGAGAGAGAGAGAGAGAGAGAGAGA